GACATCAAGGTCAGGGCAGGTGTTTACAATACAGCAACCACAAAGGCAGGCTGGATGAAGAAGTGGGGTTGGCTCAAGACTGTATACGCTCGAAGGCGTGAAGCAGGTGCCACCTGGGAGCGCATCCAGAATGGAGCGCCTGTACAAGCTCTGGCCAGCATCCGAGATCCATGGTCGGATGTCATCTGTTTCACCCATCGAAGCCCGCAGGTATATATGGCGCTGCAGCAGAGCGTGGTTTTGGCCTCGGCCCCAAAGATCGATGTTCGTTCTTCCGTTCCGCCAACTCCCCCAAAGCCAAGAAGACTTAGGGAATCATCCAAGACGTCAGGTTCCGAGGACACAAGAACACCAGAAGGGTCCATTATTTCTCAAACTGTTCGTCCAGAGTCTGAGCCACAATCGCCAACCAGTCCCGTATCCACAGAGTCTGCAAGTTACGAGCCAGTAGCACACATGGCATGGGACCTCGATAGGAGAGAACAGGTTGAGATCAACTTGGAAGATAGCAATGAAACCGATTCGGAAGTCCCTCCAGATCCCAATGCACAGCCAAGTAGTTCAGGAGTCTTGTCCATTCCATTGCAAATTGACCCCAATGAGAGAACCACCATGGGTAAGAAGCATAGGAGGGCAGTCTTGGAGGGCATTGACCGATTGAACCATCAAGATGCATTGGTCAAATCCAGCATTGGTCTGAAGGACGTCCCAGTTTCTGAGCCTCCAACCTTGGTCATTACTTCGCATCCCCGCATCTTTCAGGAGCTTCAAGCAGCAGATGGTGTTGCAGACGTTTTTGACGTCGGTGTGGGAGCTGAGTACCTCAATCCTGAGGAGGACTCCAAGATTTGGTATGATGTTTTGCAAGACTACAAGAACATCGTCATTGCCATCGAGTATGAACGGAGTACAGATTCTTTGAGACATGGAAAGATTTTGGGTGAAGTAGAATCCCATTGTGACATGAGTGGTAGCCGGTTTTTGCACATTGACGTTGCAACTACCCCGAGATGGGAGGAACATGAGTTTCCACAGATTCCCCATATCAACGACCATGACTTGGCATTCACCTGCAATGATCCCAAGTGGACTGAGCTTTTCGAATCGTGGTTTCGAGGACAGACCATGAATGACGTTTTGTCTTGGCAGTTTGTTGATTGGTTAGGTGAATGGACCAATGATACAACTTTGGATGATGAGATGTCTATTGCATTTGTTGGTGAACTGCAGGAAGAGGTGATGGACGATGAACAGCAGTTCGATGCCATCTGGGATGATGATGATCGTGCTCAGGTGAACCCAGTAGAAGACCTGATCTCGGAAGAGACACTGGTCGATGAAGTAGACATCCCAGGCCTGCCAGCAGATGAAGCCGAACGACGCCGGATGTGGCGCAAGTTGCCTGCACGTGTGAGGATTGGTGTGAGAAGATTGCATAGGCAATTTGGACACGTCCCCAAACAGACGATGATCCATCTCCTTCGTGCAGCAAAGGTTCGAAAGGAATTCATTGATGCTGTCAGGATCCACAGATGCGAAACTTGTGAAGCAACATCCCAGAAGAAGGCCACGCATAAGACAGCATTGCCTAACAACTACTCGTTCAACCACACTGTAGGAATTGATGTGTTTGAAGTTCACGACATTTCAGGTGACAAGTTCCAAGTGTTGAACATGGTTTGTTTGGGTACTACTTTTCAGCTATGTGAGGTTGTTCGTTTTGGTGCTGGTCAACCGTCTTCTGCCGAATGTCTGAAAGCACTGAGGAAGCGTTGGTTCTCATGGTGTGGCCATCCTGTGAACATTGCATGTGACAGAGGTCTGCGCAACCGAGGTGTCATGAAGAAGTACATGGATGAACATGGAATCCAAGTGTACCACACCCCTCTGGAAAGCCCGGAGAATCTTGGTCGTGTAGAACGTCATGGAGGCATTGTCAAGTCACTCTTTAGGAAGGTTTGCAAAGAGACAGGCGCTGTTGGCAGAGAACAGGTTGAGCAGGTACTGCTCGAGGTAGTAGCTACTAAGAACAACTCCAGTAGAGTCGGAGGTTTCTCGCCTAGTCAATGGGTACTTGGAAAAGGACCCCGATCAGATCCGAGCCCATTGTCTGAAGAACGGTTTGCCGAGCTTGGAGCTATTGAAGCCCGTCACAACCCAGAGAGCATTTTCGCCTTACAGCACATGGCCAGGCAGGAAGCTCAGAAAGCATTTGTTCACCTAGATTGTTCGTCAATGGTGTCTCGTGCGCTTACTCGCAATGCTTCCAGTCTTCCTCGAGTATGCAGTAGGTGATCTAGTGACCTTTCGTCGAGACAATCAAAAGGGGGGCACCACATGGAGTCCCACTAGTCGGGTGATAGGCCATGAAGGTGAAAGGAATTTGTGGTTGTTGTGTGGAAATGTTCCAGTGTTGGTCGCCAATCAAAAGGTGAAGATTGCTACGCCGACCGAAGCACTAGCTCATGCTGTTTTGCATGGTGAGCCTGTTTTTCCCGAAAACGTTGTCAAGGAAGGTGTTCAGCAGTCTTTCCTTGATGCACGTGCAGATCCGAGCGAACCCGGATCCTCAATACACATCGAATCTCAAGAAACCGAACCCCAATTTCCGGATGCTGGTTCACTACCCCCTGTTCCAGAAGATGATGAATTAGATGTAGGGATCAGACCGGATTTCTTTGATGAAGACCAATCCGAAGGTGAAGATGCGCTTGAAGAGTTGAGTAGGTCCGCTAGCTCCGTTTCACGTCCGTTCCCTGACACAGGAAATGAGCACAGCCGCAATGTGAGGCCCCGTGTCGCCGAACCGGAGAGTGAACGCGGTACCTCATTGCAACCATCCCGCAGGGAGTCCACGAGTGCTCCACATGCATGGCCTAATGTGTATGACCATTTGAACGACTTGCCATCTTCTCTACGAGAACATTTTGAGAGAGCACGCCAGAGAGACGGAGAGCTACCAGAGCAAGATCGAGAAGAAGCACATGCCATGTGGACTAGTTTTCTTGCCCAGACTGAGGATGAAGCAGAGCTAGGTAAGAAGGTTCTAAAGAGCATTCACTATGAGTCTGCGCCTCCAGAAGTGCAGAAAGCCCTGCAGGAAACAAGGCAAAAGGAATGGTCCAAATTTGAAGATTTCGGAGCAGTAGTGGCATTGACCCCAGAACAAGCGCAAGAGCTCATTGACGAAGGGCACCAATGTATTCCATCCAAATGGGTGGATGTAGACAAAGCAGAGTATAAGAAGGGGAGAGACCCTGACTACAAGCCCATGTATAAAAGCAGACTAGTTTCGTGCGGGAACTTTGAAATGACAGAGGGTTTGAGGTCAGATAGTCCAACGGCCGATGTCGAGATGCACTGTCTCGTCTGCAGTTGGGCAGCCTGTCATCAGGCCGACATCCATTCAGCTGATATCACCTCGGCGTATTTCCAGGGACGACCATTGGATCGCGTCCTTCTCATGCGTCAGCCAAGAGGAGGTTTGCCAGGTGTAGAACCCAATGTCCTTTTTCTCGTGAGGGTCCCTGTATACGGAATCACGGACTCAGGAAGAGGCTTTTGGTTGCGTTTGGATGCCGATGCACGTAAGAGCGGCCTGAAGGCAAGCCAGTTTTTCCCAGGATTGTACTACCTCCCAGGTGAGCAGGGAGGAGATGCTTGTGCCCTCATGTGCACTCACGTGGACGACTTGCTTTATAGTTTTCTTCCGGAAGGCGAGGAAGTGATGAAGTCTTTTCTTGCCAAGTTCAGTGTCGGCAGCTCAGACACTAACAGCTTTCGATATTGTGGGAAGCAGTTCGTGCGAGGAGATGACAAGGTCATCAAAGTCGACACAGCAGATAACACTAGGAAGATTCATGGAGCAGATGTTGGATCTAGGCTAGGCAGTGAGCGTCTTCAGCAAGGAGACATCACGAAGCTCAGATCGATCACCGGATCGCTCGCCTGGATCTCGAGACAGACCAGGCCTGACCTTGGTTACAGGGTAAGCCGTTTGCAGTCTAGCATTAAAGATGCAACTGTGTCCACGTTGGCAGACGCTAATGCAGTCGTTGTCCTGGCACACAAAGGTCACGATGTGGCATTGTGTTTTCCTGCGGCTCATCTCCAATGGAGTGAAGTTGGTGTGATCACGGTCACAGATGCCTCCTTCTCCAACGAGAAGAACTACAAGTCGCAACAGGGCAGGATCCATTTTCTGGGTGATCTCAAGGAGATCAAGGATGACAAGACGACCACCTATAAGGTGATGCCATTGTCTTTTGGATCCACGACGATTAAGAGAGTCTGCCGCAGCACTCTCCAGGCCGAAACGTATTCCCTCCAGAACGGACTTGAGACAGGTGACAAGCTGAGAGGTGTGATTGCGGAGATCAAGGGCAAGATTCGCAGTTTGAAGACATGGGAAGATGATGCCCGTGAATGCATTCCGCATTTGGCGATGACTGATTGCCGTTCGCTTTCTGACCACCTCAATCAGGAAGTCCTGGCCAAGGTGAGTGACAAGCGCCTTGGTATCGAGTTGCAAGGAATCCATGAGAATTTGTGGCAAGAAGGAAGACCAACATGGATTGCTTTCGAGAATGGAGGAGACAAGTTGATCTGGATCGCCACCAGTACGATGGTGTCGGACTGTCTGACGAAGTCCATGAAGCCAGATCTGCTACTTCGAGTGCTGAAAGAGTGCCACTACACTGTACAGAAGCAGAAGTAGATTTCTCCAATGCCTTAGGAAGACACAAGAGTTTCAATGTATAGCCGTGTGACACCTGTAGAACAGGTTGAGTGTGAATTTGAGGTAGGATCTCACTCTGTTGAGCCAGGTTGTCACACTATGTTGTGTCTGCCGCCGTTTGGCTCCTAGGGCCCTTGAGCTATACCGTGCTCGCTTTCGCAGTGAAAAGAGCGTGTGGACAGTACGATTCCGGTTGCTACCGACAGATGGTGTAGGAGTCTAGGTAGTTCTGGATAATCTTCGCAGTCTTTGCCTGGTTGAGGTCCTCAGCTGCCAAGTCTGCCACAGAGAGGATAATCCTGAGAGGTCCCGTGTGTCGGGGGAGCAGAAACAGTGTCATTTGTAGTTTTTGTTCACACTAGATTGAGATGAAGAATTGAGAAAACAAGAGTTCAGCCGGAGCGGTAAGTTCGTTTGAATCTTTTTCTAAGAAGTCCTGACGTGCAGATGCTCGATGCCAAGTATCGAGTCTGGCTCAACTGCATTCTCTCCATGGACGCCACCTAGAAGCGGGAGATGCACAAAAGATGCTGGCGTGAGGCTGCATGGCTGTGGTCGATGCCAAGCCCTGGTGACCCTGGAGGGGTTGGAGCTCAAGCAAAAAGACGTAGGGGGGATTCTGTTTCACCATGGTTCATCTCAAATCGAAAAGGGATCACATCTGAAGCTTGTACCATCACCTTGGCTGCCTTGGCTGCTTGGCTCAAGGTTCTGTGAAGTTGTTGGTCTAAGATCTAAACATCCCTCATATCTCATCCATTTGATATCATAAGAACCCTAGTCATATCATATCCTCATGGCTTTCATGAATCTTTTGCCCCGTCTGCGACACTTCTTCAGCTCCCTCCACCGGAGCCCTTGCTTCGGACGGAGCTGAGCAGCTGTGCTGATCGATGGCGGACTTGCCGGATGTGTTGGATGCCTTTTGTCTCCGCACTACCGAGGCGTACACTGGTGGGTGGACTCGACTGGGGGGAACGCATGCACCGGTGGTCGAAGCATGGAAAGTCATGAAGCCCCTTAGGTGTTCAAGGGTAGAACTATCCCAGACCATCTATGTATGGAATAGTGATGAATAGTTATGCATTTACCCCATTTATGATCCAGGCGTTTTTGGTGTGGTTCTATTGTAACTTTTTTGCGAGACGCCGTCATATGCGGTTTGTTTGTGTGTGTGTGTGTTTCAAAAGATTCCGAAAACAGCGCTGACCATTTCAACTGGTCGTGTTTCACTCTTGGCCCAATGCATGGTTCAAACTTTCAAACATTTGTGTGGCTCAACACCAACAGCACTGGTACCAGGTCGCCCCTGGTGTGTGCTCTGAGAGTCTTGGGGAACTGTGATGCAGCTCCTTGATTCCATCCAAAGCCCTGCATGGTCTCGTGTTATGACCTGGATTAAAGCTAACTCTAATGAATCACAAAATCACAATATTGATATACATTATATAGTTATAGACAAGACACATACAAAGGAAAAACGATACAACAAAAGAACCTTGAAGCCAGTCTCCGAATCGGCAGCAGAATCGGCAGCTCCGAAGCCCGTCGGCAGCTCTCCAGGATGAAGATGACTTTTCCCCCAAACTGGCGGCCATGCTGGAAGGAGCGGCGTCGATCGGACGGACTGGCACCGCGGTGTCCATCGGATGGAACAACGAAAAAGGCCTGGGTCAGTCCCTTTCGGAGCTCTGGAGCCTTTCAGAGTATGGCGAGATGGAGGGCGTGAAGAACAGTGTTGGAAGAGGTTGAGTGCATACCGAAGGTATATCCATCATATTGGCTGGCAAGGAAGGTCCATCACGTGACTTTGCTCATCAAGTGTCCTGGAACATCTTGAGTGCATACCTTGCCCACCTAGTGTGGGACTGCATGAAAGGGGGCATGGAAACGGAGAGCAGCCAGGGTAGAATATGGTAGAATGAACGGGCAATGTCCCCAAAGAAGATGGGCTTGGTGCTACTAGGAGCATTCCTACTACTAGTAACAAGAAGCTACTAGGGGCTCCTGGCCTTACTACTAGGAGCAAGAAGCTACTAGGGGCTCCTGGCATCGCTACTAGG